ACAGCAGTTTAGCGGTGTGTTTCCCCCCTCTGCAAATTTTGAAAGTTTGAAACTGCAATGATGTTATTATGTTGTTACTCCTTTTGAAAACTTCTTAAATCCTTTTAAATCTCTTTACATTTAGTATTTATTGTACTTAACTTCAAATAATTATAAATCCTTTCTATTTTTTTTTTGTACTTCACAAAAGTGTTTAGATTATGTATTAATTTATTAATCGCTGCAATGATTGAGATCAATGGCGTAACAAAAATCGATAGTTTCATAAATATAATCATAAAAACCATAAAATATAATTTAATTTTTCTTGTATTTTTTTACAAAAATCTGTAATTGTATGGATGACAAATTTAAAAGATTTTCAAAGATGAAGGACATTTATTAGGTATATTTTTAACAAATTTTTGCTTTTTTTCATTTTTCTATTGTAGGCCCAGAATCCTAAAAAGATACTATCTATAGCAATCGTAAGATTAAGTTCAGTTGTTTGATTAGGCTGTTAGTAGTTCCGAAAAACATTCAATTATCTTTAATCTACTTGACATAGATATGTACTGTATATATACTTATTTAATTAATTTTATATCGGTTACAAAACTTTTATAGGTACTATTTATTTTTCTTGACTGTTTTGGTTAATTTTTTATGTTCCGCCACTGGTAATTGCTCACCTTTTGCATCTCTCCCACCAAACAGCGCTCATTTATCTGTCACTTTCCCTCTCAGCTGACCAGTGTACACAGAAGTAGCGTAAGTGAAATTAGTTGCTAATCGTGGTTTTTAGTAATAACGATATACGTAAAATACGAATTTTGCAATTTTATTTAAATTCGGTACCTACATAAACGAACAATTTAAAATATGTAAGAGTGCTATGTAATGTAAAGTGCATTAAAACTAAAGTGACACTGCTTCTTTTATTGGGTAATTATTTTGATTAGTATTAAACCAAGTGGTGAATAATTATTTATATAGTAAATAAAGAGTGTGTAGTGTTATTGTTTGTGTCTGTTGATCAGCTGCTGTAATCAAAACAATAACTGGACATTGATGTAGTAACTTGGGTCGGTAAGATATATCAATACCTACATAAACATAAAGCCTTTTTAGTAATTTACTTATCGTAAACAGGATTAGGGGTTTTGCATAGGGAGTGCCTGTAAACATATTCCTTTTTGTTTGATTCATAGGTCATAGCAATGATAATAATAATTTAATGAATCATATTGTTAACCTTAAAATGATACTCTGAAAATTGCAAAAAAGCAGGAAAACTTTATTTTACATAAATTATTTTTTTAAACATAGCAGTGGCGTATCTACGATCTTTTTATTGTAGCAGAAACAATAACTAACGTTTTGGGATTTACGTTAAATTAACATACATGGTGTTTACGTAATAAGGTATTTTAATAGATGCTAGAAATATTTTTTTAAGAACAACCACGTACTTATCTACATATATTTCAAATTGCTACAAGTTTAAAATCAATAGTTAAGACTGTTTCTCAATCAAGTTCATGCTTTTGTACAATACTGAACTTTCATCAGCTGATAAGGTTATCAAAATTTTAAACATAACATTAGTTTTGATAGTTTTGCTAAAGTAAAAACGTACTATTAAACATTGTACTGTTTAATGCATATTTCGTGTATTTTAAACTGCGATTTCTCACATTTTTGCCATTTTCTTTTTGTTCGTGATTAAGTTTATTAAAATACTCATTTCAGTCCGTGGAATTTGTTCAATGTTCAAAGTTGTGAATTATTAAACAGTTATTCCAGCGTTTAAATAATTAAGATATATAATTGCATCTTGTAGTTTGTGTAATTTTTTCATTAAGAGTCATGTTTTAAGTTAATTGGTGAGTTGGAAGGTATGTTTGCCAGTAAGTAAAGTTATTATTTATTTACTAGATACGGATTATTNAATTTTAAAAAACAACTAGTTAGGTAATTATGATTGCAAATCACGAAATAATAATTTGCACCTTCTTACGTTAATTGTTTCTCTATTAAACGGGAATTTAAATTTCGAATAAAAAGGAATGATTTGTAAGTCAATTATCGGTTGACGGACATTAAAATTATCTCCAACAGTACATGGGCAACCTTGTGTATAATAAAAGTCTAATTTTCGATATTCAAAGAATAATTATATCATCGCTTTGCACCTCAATTAGGCCATTACAAAACAAATCTGATGCATGTTTTAAATATTTATTAGTCTTCGTTAAACTGTAATAAATTATTCTGTCCAAAGCGTAACAATACCATTGACGTAAAAAAAAATGAATTTACAGTCCACACTGATAACGCCATGACTTAATGAAAAATGAGATTAACGAACGAGTCTACGTAATTAAAAGAAACTGTGCACGTTTGTTTTATATTATTTCTTCAATCTTAAGGAGACAGTTAGATCATTTAATAATTAATAGTGACAGTTTTTTATAGATATTGCTGATACATTACATGTGTATATCAAATATTTTGTAGTAATTACTAGAAAATTTGAAGTGTAGCTCTTGCAACATACATATGTAAAAACCACTTGAAATTAGAACCCTGATGCGTCTTAATTAATAAGATATCTTATCTGATATTATGATCACGATTGACTTCATAAGATTGCAGAAACACGATGTCCTTTGTCCTTATTTAAAAAAAAACACTTATGATTGAAGTAAAACTGATATTGTATTGTGTTACTTATGGTGTATAACACCCCCCCCCTCTCTGATATAAAAAGTAAGAAAACAGCGACCTTCCCCCTTTAGTTCGGTAGTAGAACGCACTGTATAGGTAGATTTGTTATTATTGTTGCTTCTGTCTTATATTCTCTGTTACCTATCGTCTTTTTTTTTTTTCTTTCTAGGCTTCGGAAAATTAAAAATCAATTTTCGACATGACCTATAAAATTCGTAAAAAGTTATATTTTCTCACATAGTAATATACAAAAATTGCCCAAAATGCCTGCAGTAATATCAAAGTTTCTTGAGAAAGCCGAAGAGACCCGCCAGCAGCTGAAAATACCCAGAAATGTCTTCACAGGTGCTGTGGTAGCTGTAGCTCTTGTTACCTACACCTACAAGGTGGGCTATCCCCTTGTTGAATCTTATATTCACCGTACGAACACCCAGCAGGACAGTGTTAACAATAACCTGTTGGTGACGAAGAGTTCTTTGAATGGGATCTCTCGAAAAAAGTCCCAAGACACCGCCCTCGGCAAATACAAGCCGAAGAAATGCGAAAAACTCTCGTACATAGAGAAAATTGTGATGAAAATTCCTGGAATCAATCACCAATTTATTTTACAGTTTTTACGCCTTATGACCATCATGATTCCTGGCGTCTTTAGTGCAGAGGTGGCTTTACTATTTGGTCATACTTCCTTCCTTTTCCTTAGGACCTTTCTTAGTATATTCATAGCTAATTTAGAAGGGGCTATTGTCAAATATATCGTACGTAAAGAGCCAAAGAATTTTGCAAAACAGCTTTTGAAATGGTTCGCCATTGCCGTTCCTGCCACATTTATAAATAGCATGATCAGATATTTAGAGAGTAGGATAGCCCTCAGTTTACGAACCAGATTGGTCGAACACAGTTACAAGTTGTATTTCAAAAATCAGAGCTACTATAGGGTAACGGTACTCGATGGAAGATTGGATAATTGTTCGCAAAGGCTCACTGACGAGATAGAGACCGTGGCAACCATGGTGTCCCATCTTTACGGCCAGATAACCAAACCTCTTTTCGACATCCTTTTGATGTCGATAGCCTTAGCAAATTTAGCCAAGTCCAGAGATGCTAATCTTATAACTGGTCCAATTTTGATTACGTCGGTTGTAATGGTATCCGCACTGATATTAAAACTAGTTTCTCCGAGATTTGGACAGTTGGTAGCCCAAGAGGCTGAGAAAAAGGGCTATTTAAGACACGTGCATTCGCGACTGGTGACGAATGCCGAGGAAATAGCCTTCTACGGTGGTCATAAAGTGGAACTAACCCATCTCAGGAGTGCCTACAGGGTCTTGGCCCAGCACCTCCAGCACATGTTCAAAGTTAAATTATGGTTTGTGATGTTAGAACAGTTCTTGATGAAGTACGTTTGGTCTGGTGCTGGTATAGTTGTGGTAAGTCTTCCCATTTTGATGGCAGGCTCGAAAAAAGTCGAACCCATTGAAGACGATGGGGTGAAGACTACCATAGCCGATTCTCTGCCCGCTTTGACGAGCTCCGGGGATGACGGGGATTCCGGGCTCAGTTTGTTTAATGCAAAACCGGCAAGAACGTCCGATAGTATTTCGGAAAGAACCCATTACTTTACCACAGCAAAGAATTTGCTAATGACTGGTGGTAATGCAGTGGAAAGATTGATGTCGAGCTATAAAGATATAGTGGAATTGGCCGGACATACTGGAAGGGTTGCTAATATGTTCACGGTGCTGGAAGAGGTCAGCCAGGGTATTTACGAGAAAACGTTAGTTGAAAAGAAAGAAAACATGGATGGGTTTAATGTTGAGTTCAGAAATGGTCAACCGGTTAGTAAAGGTAGGTGGATATTGTGGAATATTTTGGATGAGAGTAGAAAAAAGTTATATAGGGTTGTTCGGAAAGTTATTTCGTTTTTTTTTTGTGGAAATGAAAGACAGTTTTCGAAATACTTTATTAAATTATATATTGACCGTTCTGGTACAACAACTTTTGCCATCTTTCTGGTAGTAGCATAATTCCACGCTCATAAAATTTTTGGTCTTTGCTGGCAAAAAAATTATTGAGGAGGTTATCGACCTTTTTTACCGTCTAAAAATTTTTGGAGTGACCGGAACAAACAATAATCCGATGTTGCCAGGTCTGGAGAATATGGTGGGTGTAGCATTGTATCCCATTCAAGCTGTAAAAGCTTCTGGCGAGTGACCAAACTTGTGTGAGGTCTCGCGTTGTCTTGGTGAAACACTACACCTTTCCTGTTGATTAGTTCTGACCTTTTCTGTTGAAGTGCATCATTCAGTTTGTCCAGCTGATGACAGTAGACTTCCGAATTAATCGTTGTGTTATCCGGTAAAAGCTCAAAAAAACGATTCCTTTAAAATCCCACAAAACAGACAGCATCACCTTTTTTTGGTGAATATCGGCTTTGGAAATGGTTTGAGTCGGTTCATCTTTTGTGTTCCATGACCTCTTGCGTTGGACGTTGTTGTATACAACCCATTTTTCGTCCCCAGTGATGATGCGCTTCAAAAACGGATCATTTTCGTGACGTTTGAGAAGCGAATCGCAGACGTCAATGCGGCGACACAGATTTCTCTCTGTGAGAACATGGGGAACCCATACATCGAGCTTCGAGGATAATCCCAGGCCTTTCAAGTGGTCATAAACTGTTGAATTTGATAAACTTAACCTCAATCCGATCTCACGTGTTGTTATCCGCCGGTTCACATCAACTAATGCCTTTATCGCGTCTTTATCAGCTTCCACCGGCCTTCCCGAACGTGGTGCATCTTCGACATCAAAATTGCCGGATCGAAATTTAGCGAACCAGTTCTGGCACTGGCGTACTGTCAACACACCTTCTCCATACACATCAGTCAATTTCTTTCTGGCTTGAACAGCATTTTAACCCTTTCTGTAGTAAAACAGTAAGATATGTCGAAAATGCTGCTTATCGCTCTCCATATTTAAAAGGGCACCAACCAAAAACTACTGCGTAGAATTAATTGGAATTTTTCACACACAAGCCTTGCTATATGAGCTCTCAAAGCATATAAAAATTATACGGCTTAAATGTGAAGTTGGGTGCAAAAGAATACAATTAAATCCTCTGTCGGGAAAAAACGAAATGACTTTCCGAACAACCCGATAAAAGTCTTGCGAAATTATTGCCTTGTTTTGTTGATTAATGTTACCTTGTCACGTTTATGTTTTTGTGACTTAAATTTGATAAAACAATTTTTATTATGCTGAAGTAAAATTTGCATTTTTAAAGTATAAAGTCTGGTATGCGTTGGTAGCAGTTTGAGAACGGTTGTTTTAATTAATTTATGGCATAAAAAATACGGTTTTATAATTTGAATAAATTAAAACAATGTTTAAAACGCTAGTGTTAGTTGATGTCAAGAATCTACCAACTGTTCCGAGACTTTCTAGTATTTAAATCATTTTATTTATGTAAGAGATAGAAGAAAGAGTACATAAAATTACATGGAAAACACCGAAAGTACTTTTAAGTACAACTACATTATTCAATTCAATCAAATATAAATTATTAATTGAGTCTAATGAAAAAGTAGCCACATGATACTGCATGTAATATACTTGGCTACATTTGTTTGATTGTATATTTAATAAAAATGTTTTGTTTGCTGACTGCTGTTATTTTCCAAGTTTTCACACCAACTCATTTGCATTCTACCAAGTGCCCATAAAACAAGCAATACATATAACCATGACATACACTCTCAAATAGTGAGTACCATCATGCACCATCGTTACGAAAGATTTAATTTTTATTGTTTTGCGTGTCATTCACCTTTCACGGTCGAAATCGCCGTAAAATTTAATTGGCATACTGATTGATAACTGTAGAATTTTGTATTTAGAAAAAAAAAATTTTAAGTCACTGGGTAACAAGTGCGTTTGGTGTAGTATTTTTTATTGTTTTTGTATGTGAAAATACACCTAAAAAAATAATAAAGGGAAAACAAAATTAACTTTGATAACAGATAACAGCAGTTGTTTTAATTGATCATTTCTGTTGGATGATTACAAGATAGGTACATAGTTGAATTACTGTATAATGTAATTGCTTTCTTACACCTAACATTTAAATACTTATTTTGGTGTCCAGGTTGTAAACAATTTAATTTTTTAACCAGATAATAACCGCAACGCGATGTTAAAGTGACAATGTTAAATTTAAACTGACCTTCATGCGTTCTTCTCAGAAGAAAAAACAAAAAATTAACTATAATTAATAGGCACTAAGCAGTTATGATGATTAGGAAAAGAAAAATAAATGTTACTTAATATCATGTAATTAAATTATAGTACCTACATATCAGTTATTTAAAACAATTTTATGTTACATACTTGCTTGTTAGACTAGACAAAGGTTTTTCCTTTGTTTTAGGAAAATTGGTGTACACTGCTCAGACAGAATTAATTTTAAAAGATGTGCCGATTGTAACGCCTAATTGCGATGTGGTTTGCTCTTCATTAACATTACATCTTAAACCTGGTCAACATTTATTAATTACTGGTCCTAATGGATGTGGAAAGTCAAGTCTTTTCCGTATTTTGGCCGGTCTCTGGCCAATCTATGGGGGTGAATTGCACACCCCCAAAAATGCCATGTTCTACATACCTCAAAGACCATACATGGTCATAGGTGAGTTTTGAGTGCGTATTTTCTTTTGAATCTTCTAAAGAAATATTGTATTTCGTGTTATTCTTACCTATAATAGTAGAGGACCTACGGTCGATCCTTGTGGATCTCCAAAAATTTTTTTTACTTGCTGATTTAATATGTATAAGATATGGGGCGGCGATTAGCACCTAGACATTTAAAGGTTGCGATTTCAGGAAACCTTCGTGATCAAATTATTTATCCCGACACGCACGTCGACATGATTAATAAGCAAATTAGCGAGGATGATTTGATAAGGATTATGAGGATAGTCCATTTGGATCATATTGTCGAAAGGGACGGGTTCTATGCGGTTAAAGATTGGACAGATATACTGTCAGGGGGTGAAAAACAAAGAATGGCTTTGGCAAGGCTGTTCTACCACAAGTAAGTGCTTTTTATTTGCTTTTTATTTTTTCTTCCAATTCTTATTTACTATTTATTTATGTTACAACTATTTATGATATCGGTAAATGTCTAGATGATGGCCTCCACCCCCTTCGGGGGTGGGATCGAAAAAGCAGGTCTCCTCTACCACTGTACCATAAAAAGTTCGTGGCGGTCTCACCTCCATAAAAAGTTATGAGGGTTAGATGGGGGAAGGGGGGATCGAAAGAGGGTGGCCACCTGAGTAAAACCCCATAAAAAAATTGCGGCGGTCTCACCCCCATAAAAAGTTATGGGGGTTGAAAGTTGATTATTTTGACAATTTTCATACACTATAATTCAAATAAAATTCAATAAAAAAAATATTTTCAAGCGGGTGGAGGTGGGGGATCGAAAGAGGGTGGTCACTTGAACAAAACCCGATAACCTAACCTAACCTACCCTATTGATAAAGATATTTAAATAATGTTTTATATAACTTTCTCAATATTTTTATGTATTTTTCATTAGTTTTACCTTTGAATATTGTTTAAGAATGACTATATAAATATTTACATGCCTAGAAATGTATAAAAATTGGCATATTTATTAACTTTGAACCCCCATAACTTTTTATGGGGGTGAGACCGTCACGAACTTTTTATGATACAGTGGTGGGGGAGACCTCCTCTTTCGAAGGGGGTGGGGGTCATCATCTAGACCTTTACCATGATATCTTTCAGTTAGTTGTATTTTGCACAATCGTATTTTTATGTGAGCATTGATATGCCCCCTTTTTAAAAAATCTGGATACGACTCTGTGATATCTTTTTTTTCCATAATTTGATTGCCTTGTTGAGTACTCTATTTACTACCACATACTATGTGTTCGCTGTACCTACATGATTTACAGATATAATTCTTGTAGGTGATTGTATCTTGACCTGAATATTACGTTAATATGTTATTAAATATGTATTTATTTATCGTTTAATTTTGTCTTGCTTGGTTGCTAGTCTAGTGACAGGATTAAAAAAAAAACTATTTGAAAGTGTAATTATTATTGGTAAATTGTGCCAGGTAATTTTTTTAAGTCTAATCCTATAATAACGTAACGTAGACATTTATCAGGGTCGGATCCAGAAACAATTCTTGAGGGGATTACGTTGAGTGGCACTTTTACGTTACATTTTTTTTAATTAACCTATTTAGATTTGTGTTTTTATTTCCCTATTCTTTAAATTCAAGGTCAACTCTAATTCGATTTTTTCTATAGAAAATCTATGTCATAAAGCTCTTGGTAAGGGAAATTTCTCCTATTCTCTCCCTTTTGACCCGCCACTGCACTTATACAGTTTCAACCAAAACTAGAATACTGTTACTTTTTCTTGTTTTTATTTTTAAATATAATAAGCGAAAATGAAGCTTCATTACAGGAAATAAAAAAAACTGTATTTAAAGTAGTTTTACGATCAATTGAATGCTTGTTAATGTGGTCATTATTATTCAGTCTTTTGAATTACATTAATAATAATAGGATTTCTTACACCTGTCTGCCCAAATGATTTATTCATTACTTCGTTAATTTCATTTGTAGCAATTAAGCTGTTACCCGAATTTATGAAAAAATTACAATATCGTTAAGGTAGTCCGGCCGAAATTGCATTTACTGTGTCATGACAATTTTTATACCTACTAATTAATAGTTAAAACCTTTTCATTAA